TAGAACGGCAATAAAGAGTTTTGACAAACGGGGGGTTGCGCGGGGGTTGAACGCAGCCCGTTCGCCTCCGCGGCTCGTTGCACGTTGCACGTTGCAACGGTGCAGCAGCTATGCATCGCCAACCTTTTTCATTTGCCACAGAAAAACGAATGAACGTCGCTCCCGACGACAAACGGCGAGTACACGTCGGCTACATGAATACGCTAGCCGGCGTTTATGCGTTTTATTCGCCAACTAACGCGTAACGATCAAAATAATTCATGGACAGTGTTGCCCGAGAAGTTGACGTCTCGAATATGCTGACTTATCGTCGATTTAACTCGTTTGTCAACGAGACAACTTTGATTTACTAGTAGATTTATTGAAAATGATCGAATGTTAATTCTAAATGGAGATTGTGACATAGCGACACCACCGTTCCTCGCGATGACAAAATTTCCATCTACGAAGCAATTACAGCGAGAGAAGGACAAAAATTTCACCAGCCGGCATCAATATACACGTTTGCCCGAATGACAACACGTTGTATCACATGCTGGATACACACACCTGCGCCCATCTCGTCATTCCATTCCGTCGGTTTTACCATTCGACCTCGCCTCCCCGCGCCCCCGTTCACCTCTCCGCGAATCATCGAACGATGAAACACTCGATTACTGCATTAACAATGCTACTAATTCAGCACGCCGTGTCCTCCCTCGCACCCCATCGCGTTGTCTCAACCATTCAACGTGCGTGAATTGCAATCGATATCGTAACGTTGCAATGTTCCGAGTGGCGATCATCTCTCTGTTTCGCTCTTTGAAAGCTCGTAGCCTCCCGTGTACACCGGCTTTTCCGGTGGCTGCCGGACACTCGTTTCCCGTTGCCCGTTAAAACGTTTAAAACGACCGCACGACCGATACGTCATTCCGCGATGTTCGCGATCGGCGCGTATCGAAACGGCCTGACGACACACGATCACCGCCATCGGCTAAATCGTAATCGCTGACTCCCGATTTTCACCGCGGTAATGAAACTCGAACCGAATGGCTTGTTCCACGATCGAAACCGTTTCGATCGATCTGTCGCTTCTACCTTGTTTTATGTTTTTTTCCCCACCCCCTTGTATCGTACATTGTCCTTTTTCTATCTCCGTTAGCTCTGTCCCATTTCCGATAGTTTTGTATAAGACAAATGGAACATCCTGTAGATGTACGTATACCACTAGCCGAGTTTATATATTCCGCCTGTATCGCGGCCTATCAATCTTGATCGATCATCGAAATCGCTCTCGACATTGCTTGTTCACTTGGCATGAAAACCGTTAAAACGTGTCGTTCGCGTGACCATCAGTGTCGACATTGAACGGCGAATCTAAACCCGTCAGTCCGAACTAAATCAGCAACGAAAACGGATTCTACACTGGCTGACAATCGTTGCCGAGTTCATCCTGTTACTTCCCAATGCAGATCGACACCTGCGATAATTTTTTATTTTATTCTCTCGAAATGAGAAATTCTGTTGTTGCGATATTTTACAAGTTCTTCGAATTGACACGGTTAGATGCATCGATGGCAAAAGGTTTAAGATGGAACGTAAAGGTGGTAGAGATCGGTAGCCGAGAAACGCGATCGTATGGGTGCTCTGCGGATCGAGTGGTGGTGGTTGCTCTTCTCTCTCCTCTCCCCATCGCTCAGGCAATGAATACGAATAGGTTTCGAGATACGATCTCTCTCGGGATACGCGGTATGGAGGGGTTAAATTAAATGATTTGCATAAGTAGGTGGGTGTCGACACCGGCAAACATTGACAAACGCGTGTGCAGCAGCCACTTTGTCTCTCCCGCTATCTCCCTTTTCCTTTCCTCTTTCCTTCCATCCACCTTACCCTTATTCCCGACTAGCCTCGCCTGCACAGCCAGCTGGGGGAGGACGGCATCAGCTTATAAGAAGAATATATTATTACGTATAATGGAAACAGCGAGTTCGACGTAAACCAGTTGCGAGATAAGAGCAACCCGCCACGCACGAGTCGACACGTGTCGAACTGGCTGCGGGTCACTGATACAGCCGTTCGCAATTACGGTACACACGTCGTTGCGAAAGCGAGCGAATCGAGACGATAATCTTTCACCGGTTACGGCGCCACCACAATTACCCGTTTACCTTAATTTACCGATCAAAAAAACTTTTCATTTTACACAATGCGCAAACATTTTTTAATTTCATGTAATTTTCAGCGAAGTAGACGGAAAGGAAGATAAAGTTGAATGGTTAATCGAGGGTCGTTGAATCGGCGAAGAAATGACGCTCGTTGCGTTCGGTTTGTAAACGAACTTCTCTCGGGGCAATGCGAACCCTCGTTGGGCACCTCGAGCATCAGCCCCTGGGTCCGAGTGTTTGCCGTTGTTGCGACAACGGCGTCACGTGTCAATTCGCATTATTACTATTTGTCGAAGAGCGTGGCCGGTCGAAAGGGGCAAGGGCAACACAGGCGACCCTTCGTGGGAAAAGCGAAGGCAAACAAAATAAAATAGAGATAGATAAAGTGGCGCTAGTATCGGTGTTCGAGGGTTGCTCGTTCGCCACGAGTACCCCTAACTCTCGGCCTCCTCCTTTACTTAATCCCGGATTGACTCGTGTCACTTATTAATATTTTATGCAAACACCATGATTTACGGGCTGGCGAGCGCATTACGGGGCAGCAGCCTTTCGTTTGCCAGGCCTCGATAACCGTGGCCGCGACAACCTTTTTATCTTTCCGCTTCATCGTGACGGATCGCATTACGTCTTGATTCGGGATGCAGAGCTCTCCCATCATCCCCTGCTGATTATTGGATAAAGTCGTATACAAGTCCGTCGCGTCCAGACCGATACGATCGCCGATTGCAGCCTTGATGAAGGACAATCTCATCCGGACCGGTTAGATTGAATCTTTGTCGTGCGATTTTAACAACCGATGTAGGTGTTGTTCGATTATCTTTAAGAGGACTTTTTTTTAAATTTATGGTCAGACGTACAAAGAGGTGCAATGTTTTGTGTTTAATAAAGAAATATTTTATATAATATTAGTAATCGATTTTACTAATTAGAATTTTGATCGACGTTGTGTACCTAGGCTTGTTTCAGCCATATCGTTCCCCGAGTGGTTTCCATTGCCGCTACTCTGTCGCGTTGGTGCAAATCGTAGGGCGAGGATGTCGATGGGGTAGGGACGGTCGGAAAAGGCAAAATCTGCAAGCCAAAACGAATCAGAGTAATCCTCCTCGACGCGTTCTCGAAAAACCCCCCCAGTCTCTCTCTTCTGTACTTGAGCCGAAGAGAAAAGGGTCGACGACGGTCGATGAGCATTTCGCAAATGGATCTGTCTCTTTTTTTCCTCCCTCCTTCGAGCTTTCCATTTCTTCCTTCACCCTTCCTTCCTGTCTTCCTTTCTTTCTTCTGTTGCCTTTGTTTTTTCTTTTTTTTTTTTTTTTTTATTCTCAACGTCGCGGTGGAAGCGGTTCACCGCCAATGTCTCTCTTTTACCTTCAATTTCTGTTCGTTTCTCTCTCTTCTCGTTTGCACGCCTTTATTTCTCCCCTAGCTTTCTTCTTCCTTCTCCTCCGCCTCCTCCTGTGTCGTATCTTCTCGGCAACCTCTTAGTCGATCCTTCTCTCCTCGTCTGTTTCCCTCGATCCTTTTGTAGAAGAGTCTGGTCGTCGTTCCGATTCTCCCTCGAGCCCTCGCGGCTGTCCTTCGACGAGCCCTCGACGCTTTAAATTGCTGATGAGCATTTTTAGATTGGTTACGTTAAGTGAATTGGTACATAGGCGGCACTGTGTTCTCCCGATAAAAGTCTTTAATGAATCCCGAAGGAAGATGGCCCCAGCACGACCGCGATACCATTTCCCTTCTCCTCGCTTCATCTTATATACGCTCGATACAACCTATCGATACGAACTGCAACGTAACACGATTTTCGTATAATGGCCACCGTGGCCCGAATAATTTCACGCCTTTCACTCGAACGCTTCCGAATCATTTAAAAATTTTCTATTAACGCGGATTCAACGACTTTTTGGCGAGGGGTGGGGACCGACAAGGTGGCGAACGAAAGCCGCTGACACACGTAAACACCGGGATGAAAGGGGGAAGATAGCAGAGCGAGTTAATTAAAACCCTCTCCCGTCGGCATTAGAACCGAAATCGTGGCTCTGCCTGTTCTTTCTGCCGGTAACCGCTCACCCTCTCGTATTCTTTGCTCCGTTGCTTTCCTCACCCCGTCCCGTCTGCTGAACGAAGGGACAGAGAAAATCGTCGGGACATCGGACAGGCTGTGCGCCTCCTGGCCTGATCCGATAAAAGGAACGGGTAGCCAGCCGAATGCGTCCGGGACCGAGCAACAACAATAATGTCGTCGTCAGTTCGTTAAGCGCTTCTTTCAGGGCTGTTCTCGTCTCACCTCGATGAAGGGCAGTCGGAGGTGCGAGACCCGCCTCGAGATAACTAACCTCGGCCCACCTACGCTCCGCTTCGATCCACTCGTTACGACATCGGCACGCGTGACTGCGTCAGCCCGTGCATGCGTGACTTCGTCACCTGAGATAATATCGGTGAACCGACCATCTATCATTCGGCGATTCCCCGCAGACGTGGCCCGTTCAGAGCGTTATTCGGTCCTGGTTATCTCTTCTGGAACGACGCTTGGGAACGAGAGACCGTATCCTGGCTAACTCGTCAAGAATGCACCGTGACTAAGCTACTGTTTTCATTCCAGGCTCGAGGTTCACGAGGTGCCTGACTGACGGAAAATTTTGACAACACCCGTGTATACGAATTCTTTGAATGATTTTTTTTTTTTTTTTTTTTTCATTTTTTCTAACATTGGTCCTTCACGAAAGTCACGATTCGTGATGGTAACCGACTATGCGTCGTCGGAATATTTGAAATCAATTCGCATTTCTGTGCATCTTATTTATATAACGTTCATCGCGTTCCTTTGTGTTTACTAATTGCTCCGTCTAATTCTGTTTACAGTTTCGCACGAGACCGAGTCCGTCGTGGAAGGAGCGAGCTCATTGTCAGTCTGTTTTGAGTCGCGTCGCGTCGCGTTGATTCGCAGGACGACCGGCGCGATAAATTCACGGAATAAATACCGATATAGAAAACACGGGGAGTACGCGCGTGGTACACGCGCGTGGTTTTGTTGCATCGATACCAGGGACCGATCAGCGTTAAGTGATCGATCGCTGACACGCAATGATTCATCGCGATTACCGATGCTGCATTGTTCGGAAGAAAAAGCCCGGACCAAGTCGATAAGGCGTATTGTCCATCATCGAAGCTGATTTTTCCCATCGAGTGTTGTGGCTCGTTTGCTTACCTTCGTCCTATACCATCCTGACGTCTACATCGGTGAGTACATTCAGATATTATTTGTAGCTAGTATGCAGTAGCTGGTATGACTTGGATAAAAAATTATCAGTTTTTGAAAAATAAGAAATTATTACGAGCAAGCTTGTTTCTTTGAAAACGATCTCTATTATCATACCGAATTGACGGCGTTGAAAAGCGTAGCTCGACAGTAACCGAACTGTTTCTGTTGCGGTTTCTAGTAGCAAGTCGAATAATCGTGTCAACGATATTATATGCGACGCGATGCAACGCCTAAATAACACGAACGGGGATGAACGAGGGGGAGAGAAAGAGCGTCGAGCTGTATCTCGTTAACAAAGCCAGCCGTACATGTACGTTCGGCAACAGATGCGAAACGATGTCACTCAGAACATGCACGAGCTAGGGTCACGGCAAATGATTGACATATTTTCCGCGCGGTGAATTCATTCTGGAGCATCGCAAAGAGCAACCAGATCGGATATTCGCATAAAGGTTTCATCGCGACCGCTTCGATTCTCTCCCTCACCTTCTTCCTCGTTCAAAAGAATTGATGCACGTTTCGTTCTCGACCAATTTGCACCGCCACGTAATCCTTGGGTCCCATGGGACACGCGTAAGAGTATTTTACGAATCTCATTTCCGGTAACCCCCTGCACTAGGAACGTTTATAAACAAGTGTGATTTTCGCGTAGATATTTCTTAATTTGCATTCTTTTTTATCGTCGAGATAGGGTTGAGAAGTTTTAGAAAAAACGAGTTGTATTCTAATAACGCGTTCAGCAAACACGATCCTCCCTCGCCATAAATGGCATATGGACAGAATTTCGGTTCATCTAAATTCGTCAACTCGTCCATTTAAGTTAGCCCCCGGCAAACGAAAGCTGTCACGGGACTCGCGAGTTTCTAAGCAGCCGAAAGGAGGAAGAAAAGAGGAACGTACGAAACGACGAGGACGATAGGGTGGGCCGTGTCGAGTTTCGCGATCTGACAGCAAATATGCGCCACTTGGCAGCTGTATATGGGTGCACCTAAGCGGACAAGCCTGTTGAGATTTGAAACGTAACACCCGTTACCCATAGATAGACAGAGAGAGATGGAGGGAATTGAGCAACAACTTTGCTCTTTCTATGGTAGAAAACCATCCCCCTTGGAGCCGAAACTTAGCTCGATCCCCCGATTTCTCTCTCTCTCTCCCTCGATTCTCTCGTACGTCTCTCAGCCTATGAAACAGGGCGACACGTTTAATTGGTAATCCGTTTAAAGGATTAGTAACTCACGATGGGTATTAGGATGTGTCGCTGGTCCGCCTGCAGCTTGTCCGTTTCGCACGGACAAGCCGAAGGACACGATACTGGCCACGTCGATGGATGCTACTCGATCTCGAGGTCGGTGGCCCTGTTTCCCACCCCGATTTCTTTCATTTTATTTTTCTCCTTTTAACGCGAATCGCGGTCACCTGTCATTTCGTTGAATATTACAAATTTTCATACACTTGCTATCCCTGATCGAGATCGTTCGTGAAATCAGCTCGAGTATCCACTTTATCGTCTCGGTAGTTCTTTCGATCCCTCTTTTTTCTTTTTTCTTTTTTTTTTTTTTTCAAAGCGATCACACGAGTCGTCGCGCACATCGGTCGGGATAGCTAGGCGGCACAAAAGCCCGATGGATCTCCGGTAGTTTTCGATGCAAAGCGGGGCCCGAGGGTGCGTCGATTCTTTCGCTCCTGTACCGTTTCCTACTCCTTCTCTCTTCCGGAGTGTTCGACACGACACGACACCGCGGGGCGTGCTCACTTTTCAAACGAGCTTACTCTTCGCCACGCGAGAGCACATAGCCCGGGGGTAGGCTGCGTTTCAAATCCGGTCTGATCTAATAGGGATTAACAAAGTGACAAATGTAAGAGTTAGCGATGCCAGGGTCGCCTGTCTGTCTCCCCTTGTCTCTCTCTATTGCACCGATTTCGTATCAGGGTGAACAGAATAAAAGTTCAACGGAGAACTATTAGAGAAAATGTTTTAAAATTAAAAAATTAAAATATACCCCCTTCAAGAGAAAGCGTGCCTTTCCCTTCCGTCTTCCGAAACGGTGCAAACGGTTGCCTGGTCAGAAATTACATAAAATGCGTAACGAATATTACAAAGGAGAGGCATCCTCGATTCCGTTCACGTTCGCCAGAAAATTGATCGTTTTAACTGCTTCCAGCGTTTCGAACAGTCCCGGCACGAGTCCTATATTTATATTCTTATGTAAGATCAGGGTAGATAGACGCACGGTAAGTACTTATACAAAGGGGAAGAAAAGGGTAACAGAACGTCGGACCATTTACAACCTGTTCCGAAACGGAACCACCAGTCTACATTGTTCGATTTAGCAAATTTATCCGATCCATTGATCGATAGATGTGTAACGGCGATGGAGAAACGTATCAGATCGTTCTTTAATAACGAGGACAGGATCTCGGCTAGAATTATCGGCACTTTGAACGCGCTAAAATTCCTGCACCGGTCATCAATCAGCTGGTCAACAACCACCTGGCCTACTTTTATCGATAATCTCCAGGACCCTTCGATCAGAGATTTTTTTGGCTAATGATAGACAAACGTAAAAGGCGGTGTCTGCCTTTTGTTGCAGTATTTAAACTGTTTTTTAGGAAGGGGTTGATGGTGATAGATTAGAGAGTGGAGAATAAACAGTAGTAAAAGTCATAGTTTGGTTGCAATATCGAAGATTTAGTGTTTTACTAGAATTCTTCATTTCAAAAGATCATCAACAAAAGATAAATAATACTCGTTCAACAAAGTATCTTTTAACCACACAAGTGGTGTGCTTGTTTTTCTTCAACTCGTACTGTACATGAAATAAACATTAGAGATTAAGCGAAGATTAAGAGATTTAAGCGAGGTAGGAGATACAATTAACGATTATCGTACTGTATTCCTCCTTCGATATCTCGATGTGAAAATCAGCCGCAATTAACTTTCCATCCAATATTCATTACCACCTATGCATTTTATCTAACAATTATCTATTATCTACTAAATTCTAAGAAACTCTGCATAATCTCAAAGAGAATATTATTACATCAATTTATCCCAGTACGGGACAGAGTCGGTTGCATCGAACGGATGCAAAAGATCCCGTTCCTCTACGTTCGTGCGATCGCTCGCAAGAAATCCAATTATACAAGCACGAGGATCGAGCAAAACTGTCGCGAGGGTTGGCCCAGGGTCTGATTCAAAATCACGTCGCGGTGTGTATTTTGCGTTCGAAAGGCGGGGAAAGAGCAGACGCCGGGCTATGCGGCTCGCAATAAATCAAATCGAGTTTTTCTGGGCAACGTACCGGCCGGGGCACGAATGGTAATGAAAAGAGCAGCGGACGATACAGGCGCGATAACATTCCGCGTGGCCGCGTGTGCCGCTCGCCGCGATGCCAAAGACGACAAGCACGAATCGTCGTTGCAAAACCGAACGCGTCTCGCATCTCTCGCATTCTCTCGTTTATACGTAAGTCCGCGGTAGGGTACACCCGGGGCCAAGGTAGACTTCCTAAGTAAAGAGGGAGTCTCCTCCTTCTAGAGTGTACAGAAAATAAAAGAAAAGGACCGCTTAAAAATAATTAAGCGATATAATTTTATTTGTTTCATTATCGAAAGCGACGTGTAAACGCGTGTATTTAACACACGAACAAGCGTAACAACTACGAGTTAAACTAATCGCGAGCGAACAAGATAGATGTAACGAGGCCGTCTACAGCTGCGCGTATCAGCGGTAATACGAGTATCTACGATATTCGTAATTAGTCGGAACGTGACAGTAATATCGCGCTATTTCAACATGGATTTCCCTGTTCGAATTCGATAATACGAGTATTTGTTCCCCGTCTGTTCGTCTGCTGATAATTCGACCTGTACGTATCACGGGGAACACGGTCGATTTAGTTTTAGACAATGAAATAAAAATTGGGATATTTTATAAAGAAGGATTATTTAATTAGTTCACGTGAAACGTAAGAATGCTGAGAAGGCTTCTTCCCGTCTCTCCCATGCGATTTGAATATTCGCCGCGTCTTCGTCTCCGCTCGATCCTCCTCGTGCGGGTAATTAATGCACGATCGAACGGAGCAGAAGAAGAAAAGCCGCTCGATCGCGTTCGTCCATCATCCTGGGATCCGTAGGACGAGGAGGCCAACCGAAACGCGTGCTCCTCACCTGAGAACCGACTTGTTCCCGCTTGATCCGGCTGGTATGTAAATGTTGGCCCTTCGACAAGGCTCCGAGTTACTCGATTTGCGACCAGTTCGATGTTTAACCTTCTCGGTACAACCTTCTTGGCTCGACTTTAGCCTACAATATTTCTTTCTTTACCATTTCAAAATTATTCAGAATTAATTGTCGTTATTATTTTGATTGGCGCTCCTTTTATTCCTCGCTTGTTATAAGAAAGAACGTTACATTCGACGGAGTCTATCGATTTATCGCGACGACTTAAAATTCATCCATGATGGTTAAGGAAAAACGAGGCTGAAAGGAGTTTGGCATGACAAACAGTCTCCTGGGGCTATATAAATACTTTCGCGGACTAAGTCATAATATCGAGTAGAAATCTTTAATTTCGGACTTGTCCCAAGTCGAAAGAAACATTCCGGACGTGCAGGGTGCAGGGTTATCGGGAGGCGAAATCGGCGCCGGAGAGAAAAGGATGCTCCTTGAATATTCTTCGCGTGGTCGAATCAGAATCGCGTGGAAGAACGATTCCTCTCGCATCGACAAATTCTGCTAACGATCCTCTGTCGTTTATCGTTAAGAAGAAAATTAGCGCATAGCTTAAGTTGAAGAGTGAAAATTTTCATATTCATAGGTTTATATTATTTTCGAACCATAATTCCTTAGATTTATCCGATCAAATCCAGTTAGAATAATTCGATCGTTCCGATGCGACGACTCATTAACATTCCACGGTGTACATATCGGGGCCAAAAGAAGCGTCGGGGAGTCGAGCCAGCAGAGCCCGGTGGAT